ATCATTTATAATCAGTAGAGGAAGGAGAAGAGGGAGGGGGAGGGAAGTGGAAGGGGGATGGGGATTAAAATCAAATTCCATGCAGGTATGTCAAAATATACCCCTTTATAGGTATACCTATAAAGCTCTAAATGTTTGAAATAGATTTCATCCGGAATATATAAAGAGCTCTCAAAATCCAATAAGAAGAATATAAACAATCCACTTTTCCAAAAATGGGCAAAAGGTCTGAACAGGTTCTTCATCAAATAACCTATTGTGGATGGCAAATGAGCACAAGAAAGATGCTCAGTGTCGTGAGGGAGAAATATAAAGACCTTAACGAGGTACCACTGCACACCTGGGCTACAATGAAAAAGACCGACGGTACCCAGGGTGGAGGAGAAGGTGGAACGGCTGGACTCTCATTCTTGGTTGGTCAGAATGTAGACAGTAAATCCCCTTTGAAAATAATCTGGCAGGTTCTTAAATTTTAAACATCCCTCCAGGATGAGACAGCGATTCCACCGTTAGGAAAGAATGAAGGGACGTGTTCGCACCAGCGCGTGCATCAGTGGTTATGAGAGCTGGACTCGTGGCCATCGGAAACAGCTGAGATGTCAATCAACGAGCAACGGCCATCCTCCACACAAATGGGGTGCTACCAGAAGGTGGTACTCAGCCATGACGAGGAACGAGGCGCTAGGGAGGCATGCACCTGTAGTCTCAGCCACCCGAGGCTGGAGGATTGCTTCCGCCTGGGAGTTTGAGGCCAGCCTGGGCAACCTAGAGAAATCCTGGCTCAAATAAAGGGATAGGGCTGGGGGTGTGGCTGGTGCAGAGCACCTGCCTGCACAAGGCCTGGTTTCACCCCTGGCACTGCAAACACATTAGCAATACAGGGCATCCCCAGGGAAGGGAGGGGCAGGGGACTAGGAAAGACAGGAGGATGCTCAGACAGCGCTCTCCTGTGCTCACGCATGAACACCCGGCCAGTGGAACTCCGTGTCATGTAACCCACGAGAATGGGATCCTGATTAGGGTAGGTTACACTCCATGTTCGTAGAATGTGTCAAAGTACCCTCTACTGTCACGTTGACCTGGAAAGAACAATTTTTTTAAAAAAAATAGATAAATAAATAAAGCATTTGTCACACCCGGCCACCTTCCTGCCTTTTCCTCCCGCGATGACCTGGCCAACCCCACACACGGGGACCCTTATTCACGTGTGTATGATCTGTTTCTGCATCACCTTGAGAGGCAGAGGTGTTTGGTCTGTTTTCTCCTGTGCTGTAGAGAGCCCACCTTCTGGTAAAGATAATGAAGCTGGGAAAACCCATGTGTTGAAATCGAGTATTTGAAGGCAGAAAATCACACTTGGAATGGGGCAAGAAATGATTTAGGGCTGGGGATGTAGCTCAGTGGGTAGAGGGCTTGCCTTGCATGCACAAGGCCCTGGGTTCCATCCCCAGCACTAATAATAATAATAATAACAATAATAATTTAACAAAGGGCCTTGTTTAAAACTGGTGGAGTTCCAGGGCTGAGGTTGTGGCTCAGTGGTAGAGCACTTGCCTGGCCTGCATGAGGCACTGGGTTGGATCCTCAGCACCACATAAAAATAAAATAAAGGGCTGGGGATGTGGCTCAAGCGGTAGCGCGCTCGCCTGGCATGTGTGCAGCCCGTCCATCCTCAGCACCACATACCAACAAAGATGTTGTGTCCGCTGAGAACTAAAAATAAATATTAAAAAAAATATCTCTCTTTCCCTCTTTCTGTCTCACACTCTCTCTTAAAGAAATAAATAAAATAAAGATATTGGATCCACCTAAAACTAAAAATTAAATATTTTTTAAAAGGCTGGTGGAGGGGCTGGGGATGTGGCTCAAGCGGTAGCGCACTCGCCTGGCATGCATGCGGCCCGGGGTTCGATCCTC